CGGCCTCATCGAATTTAAATGTGTGGCCGGATCTCGTCGAATGAGCCGCAACTTGAGAGCTGGCGTCATTTCTGCGCACCGCTGCCGCGTGTTCGGCCATTCTCGTTCGGAGCTGTCTTCCGGTTTCTCCGACGTAGTTGCTTTGTCCGCAACTGCACCAGATCCGATAAACGACTCCAGACGTTTCTAGCCGTGGCAGTGGGTCTTTCGGTTTCATGATCAGACGCCTGATGGTTGCCTCCGGTCTGTGTGCCACTCCAACCCCAAGTGGTGCGAGAAGGCGGCCGACAGCTTCCGAAACGTTCTTGACATACGGAAGTGCCCGCCAAGACTTGGTGTCCGTGCGGTTAGGCCTTTCGTCCCTTTTGCGTATGCACCGGTCGACGAAGTTGCGCGGGTAGCCATTGGCTTTGAAGACCCGTCGGAGGTATTGTAGTTCAGCAATTTTGTCTTCCGGCTCACTGCAGTGCGTTTCGACACGCCGATAGAGCGTCCTTACACAACTGCGTTTGTGGCTGATTGGGTGGTTACTGTTGAAGTTCAGTACTTGCATCGTATTTGTCGCTTTCCTGAACACTTTGGTCTTTAGTCCACCACAATCCTTGCGGCATACGAGGACATCCAGGAAGGCCAGCTGGTTGTTCTCTTCCTCCTCCATCGTAAATTGAATGTCCGGGAAGACGGCGTTGAGATGTTCTTGGAATGTCAACACCTGATCCCGTTCGATGACGACGAAGGTATCATCCACATACCGGGCCCAGAATTTCGGTCTGTGGTGTTGGAAGACCAGCGACTCTAACCGTTGCAGGACCGCCTCGGCGATGAATCCCGAAATCGGCGAACCCATTGGTGTGCCCTTCACCTGTTCGTAGATTGTCCCGTCGAACGTGAAGTACGTCCTGAGACAGAGCTTTAGGAGCTGAAGGATTTGGGCGTGTCCAAGACGGTTCTCCGTTTCATCGTATTTGCTTTCTAGTAGCAGTTCAATTGTCTCGATCGCCAGGTCCTGAGGAATAGAAGTAAAAAGGGATGTAACATCAAAAGATACCATGACATCATTTGGATGGATGCTTACCCCTTTGAGTTTCTCCAGGAATTGTGCTGACGAAGAGACCGTGGTGTCTGACTCAGCGGTCAGGAACTTGAGACGCCGGAACAGCCACTTCGCCAGTCCGTACGTTGGAGTCCCTTTGAGCGACACGATGGGTCGGAGAGGAGCGCCGTCTTTGTGCACCTTAGGGAGGCCATAGAATCGGGCCAAAGCCGTATCTTGGGGTCTCGCCATGCGTCTGTCAGTCGGTGTTATTGCACCTGAGTTCTCCAAGGCCAACAACGTAGCATTAATTTCGCGTGTCTTTGTCGGCCTTGAGTTCTCTAAGCGCATCACGTTCGACCTTGGAAAGTACTTCCCGCGGCCTGTGGGCCATCAGGAGAGACGACACTTGGTGTCGGATGAGGTTCTTAGTCTCCTCCGTTGCCTCCGTCTGACAAAGGATTGATTCCACTGCTGCAATCATGTTAACAGGTTTGGCGTCAGCCGTGTTAAAGGAAGCTTCGTGCCGTAAAACCTGCATCTGATCCTTCGTCAGCTCCTTTGATGACAGGTTGTGCACCTGTTTGTCGTTTCTGGGCGACGTTGGATTGCGCAGCTTTCGAAATTTGTTCTCCAGTGCTGCGTCGCGTATCGCGCTCTGTTCGCGGGCTTGTTCAGCTATCCTCCGCCGGAGCAGATTCGTACCGATTTCACCCATGAACTCACAGCATCTGGTCTTCTCTTGGTCAATCCTTTGACGGTACCTACGAAGTCTCGCATGGGAAATCATCATCATCATCATCATCATCATCATCATCATCATCATCATCATCATCATCATCATCATCATCATCATCATCATCATCATCATCATCATCATCATCATCATCATCATCATCATCATCATCATCATCATCATCATCATCATCATCATCATCGATGATTGTCCTTGCGCGAAATGTACACACCTTGTAATTTGGAAAGCCTGGATGCAAGTGTAACGGCAGGTCGGAATTGAAAATTATTTTGAAATCGTGTTCCGTTGCCATGCTGTCCGGGACCTTCCCGATACCGCTTGAATTCGGCAGACGTGGACACAGAAGTACACAGAAGTAGATTTTCTCAAAGGAAAAAAGCCTCGAAGCCAACCACGAAAACATGAGCAACACACACCAGCGGTTAGAGACAGTGAGACACGACTAAAAACGCCCCCTCCCCGTCATACAGCCAAATACGCAGCATGTCGGAGTTTTTTAGACATGGGCGTGGCTGCCAAGATTTTGCGCCAAAAGCGCTCTAACGAACTCAGGTGAGAGAGTAGTGCAAAGGGTGTAGGGCGAGGAGGAGGGGGACATTTGTGACCCAACCAGCTGCTTGATTTCAGATGTATTTTTTGTCACCAAACTGCATTCACAGCATGAGTCAGGCTCCTCTACGGCAATGATGACCAGGGTTGGCATAGGTACTAACCTTGAGGAAGGAGACACAATCGCTGGGAGAGGGACTTCATTCGCCCGACTCTTCGGATTACTGCTCGAACCCATCATCGGTGACAATAGCAGATACGGGTGGTTCATGCACAAGGGGATGCAGTATTTATAAAATGCAGTCGCCATGCTACCACATACCTATGAATATTCACGACTCCCCCCTTCATCAGGGATCGTGGCACTTGGTCTGATGACTGTTTGATGGCCGACCTTCCCATCGTTAATTGCTGCAATTGCTGCTGGTGAATTTCAGTAACAGCAACCACTCAATCAGCCACAAACGCGATTCTGTAAGGACGCTCTATCGGCGTGTCGAAACGCACTGCAGTGAACCGGAAGTCAAGATTGCCTAACTACAATACCACCGACGGGTCTTCAAAGCCAATGGCTACCCGCGCAACTTCGTCAAACGGTGCATACGCAAAAAGGACGAAAGGCCTAACCGCACGGACACCAAATTTTGGCGAGCGCTTCCATATGTCAAAAACGTTTCGGAAGCTGTCGGCCGCCATCTCGCACCACTTGGGGTTGGAGTTGCACACAGACCGGAGGCAACCATCAGGCGTCAGGTAATGAAACCGAAAGACCTACTGCCACGGCAAGAAGCGTCTGGGGTCGTTTTTTGGAGTTGATACAGTTGCGGACAAAGCAAGTACGTCGGAGAAACCGGAAGACTGCCCCGAACGCGAATGGCCGAACACGCTGCAGCGGTGCGGAGGAATGACGCCAGCTCTAAAGTTGCGGCCCATTCGATGAGATCCGGTCACACATTCAAATTTGACGAGGCCGAAATTCTCGCGAGAGGTGACAACCGCGGAAGTCGGGAGCTGGTTTACTGGCCCCCAGTCCATTAACAAGTGAAACGGACCTCCCCTTCCATACTCAGTGCTGAGACTTTGCCTAGATGGAATAATTAGCCACGCGGGTAGCGCACATGGTAAACAATTTTCCCAACTCCAGAGTCAGCGAGTCAGATGGTCGAGCAATCATCAAACCAACATCCAACGCGCGTGAGGAAAAAGCAACAATTATCGACGCAAATGTCGGCCATCAAACAGTCAGCACATCAATTGCAACGATCTCTGATGAAAGGGGGTGCCGCGAACATTCATAGGTATGCAGTAGCATGACGACTGCATCCTACAAATACTGCAGCCCCTTGTGCATGAACCACGCGTATCTGCTTTTGTCTCTGATGATGGGTTCGAGCAGGAATCCGAAACGTCATGCTAATAGAGCTCTTGTCTCGTGTCTCCATCTTCAAGACTGCTTCCTGGGACTCGTTTCTTCGTTTCTATTGGCACTAGCTTCTAAACCTTCACGGTCTCGGAGACCCTTACGAGAAGCCCGCAGCCGATCAGGCAGCCTCCGGCACAGCACCCCCGAGGG